CCAGCATCACACCAAGGACACTCTAACACGACTATTCCAGATGGAAACCAGCAAGGCTGCAGGAGAGTCTTTGCTAGTGTGGATGTTTGCAGTAGACGTCCACTTTCACAAGTCAGCCTGCTATAAAAAATTAGGGCACTAAAGTGCTTACCAGTGTGTTGTAGGGGATGAGGGTAAGCTGTGTCCATTAATTTGGAACTTCACTGGTGATGGTCTGCACCTTCCCCTTCAGGATCTGACCTAGCCAGGTGAGTGGTTGTCATGGAAACTCCGGGCTGGGAGCCCCCTGATCAGAACAGCATTCCCATAGCAGCCCACTCACGACGGTGGGTGGGTGGGGGTGGGGGGTGGTGGGGGTGGCTGAGAATGTGAGGATGGTTTTCAGGGTAAAGCACACGTACGCAGGAAGCCTGACTTGACTTCCTCACTGGCTTTCTGTGTATAATGGTCTTACTTGAGAAATCGCCTGGGTCTCTTTGGAATTTTCACCATTTGGGGGAACTAAAATTTCTTACCAAAATCTTATCAAAAAGGTGAGTTACAATTAACTTCTAACACAATTGCTATATATTAGAATGTATTGTAAGCCAAACATTAAAAGAGAATAACACACGCTTCAGTGAACTTTAAATAAACAGATCATTTTCTTTTGTAGACACATGGTGAAAAATTATTCTAAACAGTTTATATCATTTGCATCTAGCGCCCTCTTGTGGTCCTTACCAAAGGGCAAGCATCAATCTGATGGTTTGGGTACTATTCACGTACTCCTTCAACAGGGAAGAATTTCCACAGTGAACGCACATATTAAATTCTTTGTGTTATTTTGTGAAAATGAAGAAACTGCATTTAAGAATTTTGAATTATTCTTTAATTTTCTAGATTTTTTTCTGACAATACATTGAGAAAATCAAACTAGTTCTTCCTACAGAGGTCAATTATTAACAGTTGAGATGGCAATTTATAGTCAGAAGAAACGCAAAATAATACATAATGATTGCCAACAGATGGGTTTAGATTAAAAACAACCTGACAACCGGAGCTGCACACCTGCTTTCTCCTTTACCTAATGCAGTATCAAGACACAGAGATCCATTCTAATAAGACGTGACATTTGCAAATGCCCCTTGTGAGCGGCAGAAGCAAGACCAGGTCCTGCTAAAGGATCAGACTTGCCTTATGCAAATCGTGGCACAGGATGTGAACGTTGCTTCCAAGGTCACGATTGGCTCATCAGCCACTTCACACACTACTGTGCTTCAAGCCCCGGTTCTCAAAGGGCATTAACTCAAGTGATAAGCAGTGAGGGGAACTGACCACCTTTCAGCTTCTGCTATGAGGATAGTAAAGATGGAGAAAGACTTCAATTTAAAAAGGAAGAGGAGGATCTGGAGAGAGGAGCGGACCAGGAGGGTCGTATGCTCTAATGGTTTTGATCTATACGTTAACACAACCGCTAGTTTCGTCCTAAGTTCTTTAACTTTTAAAAAACATATTTCCTCGTCTTTTCCTAAGGTTAGGGCAATAATTGCTAAAACCCTTACTTGCTCCTTTTCCATGCATACGGTATAAATATTGTGGAAATCCACTTGGTGTGCTCGCTCCTATAGTAAGAAAAACGTACAGCAGCGTCTTAAAAGTAGAGTTCCGTGGAGTTAGCAGAGCCATGGCACTTTATAAACCAGCGCAGGGCGTTACAAGCTGCTAAATCCCAGGGATCAGAAGCCCCCGCCTCTCGACTTACCGCCCGCTTCCATCCATCCCGGCAGCTCCTCGGGAGAGGGAGGATGTGGGACGCTCGGGCTCCTGGGCGCGGTTCCCACGGCGCACGCAGGTGCCTGCAGGAAAACAGCGGCGACACCTCGGTGAGGCGGCAGGGACAGCGGGAGAGGACCCGCGGGAGGGACCTGCCTCCTGCCGTCGGGGAGTCTCGCTCACCCGACTCACCCGCACACCTACCTGAGCCAAGAGCAGCACCCAGAGCGCCACGCAGCCCCTAGCGCGGCGCTGCGCGCCAGACAGGCACACGCAGAGGTTCATCGGGGGCGCTCGGAGGGGCCTGGGGGACTACTGACGGTCCCCAGCTGGGCGGCGTGCGGGTTTGAAGAGAGGACCCAACCGGGCAGAGCGCAGGAGGATCCCCCACAGAGGCTCCACCGCCCGCGCCCGGGTTATTACCGCGGCTCCGCGCTGCGCGGGGGCGGGGTGGCGGCCGGCGGCGGGGGTGGCTGCAGAGCACCCGCCCGAGCCCCGGGAGGGCAGCAGGAGGAGGGAGGTGGGGGGAGGAGGAGAGCTAGGGGGAGGGGAGGGAACGGAGGTGGGCGCAGGGTGGGAGGATAGAGGAGAGAAGGGAGGACGCAGCGGAGCAGAGGAGGGGAGGGGATTTGGGGAGGAGAGACGAAGGGGGAGGCGGGGAGCAGAGTAGGGAACCTGAGCGAGAGGACGGCCCCCGGCCCGATGGAGGGCGGCCAGGTCGCGGACAGGGGCAGGTTGACCCTATGCTCCGTGCACCCTCGGCTCGCGGTCTAAGGCTGGGGACGCCAGTCGCCCCTGGCTCGCGGCGGGCGCCCAACCCCGAGGGCCAGACCTGCCTAGCCAGAAGCGCGGGACATCTGCATTCCTCATCCACTGTCCTTGGGCTGGCCCGACCTGCGCCCTGGGGCCTGCTGGGGTCCCCATTCACGCCTGTGGGGGGAGGGCGGGTGCAGGAAACTGGGCGCCTGAACCTTCTCAGTGCCCCACCGACCCACGTCTAAAGGAGAGAGCACGGCTGCGGGTTTGCGAAGTGAAGAAGTGACCGGAGACTAGCTAGCATCTCTCGCCACTGCCCGGGGAAGCGCTCGGTGGTCACGGGTGACATTCCCCCTTGACTGGCCTGCCTGGAGTGCCCGTGCCTGGCGGTTGGGAGCAGCTGGGGTTTCCGTGTCCGGGGTTGTTGGGCTGCTGTGTGGAGCCCACAAGGGCGCCGTGGTAGCAGCAGGTGCGCGGCCTTCAGCCTGGCCCGTACTTCTGCGCACTCCTGGCTGGGGTGTGCTTGCGTTTGAGAGTGAGCGCCACAGGGACCTGCTCTTGTGTGTGCACGTGCGTGTCGGTGCCAGACTGTGTGAGAGAGCGCGTGTGTGCACAGCCGGCCTCTTGCCTTTGTGGTCCTCCAGTGCCCGAATGTAGCGTCCTGGACAGGGACAGAAGATGCCCCGTCTGTGCCGGGGCCTGAACTGCTCCTCTCTCTCTTTCAAATTTCTTCAAAAATGCAAATATTTTCACAGAAAGGCTTTAGTAGGAATGTAATAGAACACCCTCCCAATGCCTAACAAGTGTCTGCCTGGGTTCCCTCTTGGGGAAGCTTACACTTGCCTGGGAAGGGCAGAGTCTCCAAAAATGCCCTTCCGGTGGGGGCAGCCCTTGCCTTTGTCTTGGTAAAGGACAGTGAATGCTGGACAAAGGTGTTCTCTAAGTACCTCCGACTGTGCCCAGTTTAACATCAAAGGGAATCAGACTTTCCGGGGATCACATGGAGATACAGAGTATCCAGGGGCTCTTGTTCTC